GCTGCAGACTCCTGAGTGTCTGAGCAGAGAGGGCTCTCCCATCCCTCAGGACCACCATGAGCAGCTGGCCAGCAAGCTGGCATCTGTGCCTGAGTACAGGTACTCCCAGAGCGCCCCAGGTAAGCACAGATAAACGAACTCCAAACATTGTGCCCACTCTAAGGCAGTGTGAGAAATGAATGAAAATTTATGTGAACAGGCTCTCCAGTCAGCGCTCAGCATGTCATCATGGCTGCCCCCACCCACCCAACCGTCCTGAAGCCCATTCACATGCTTCAGAGCACCCCACAGCCTTCTGTCACCATGGTGCGTGTGGTCACCAGTGCCCCTCCAGTCCCCGCCTCCCGTAATGGCTACAACACTTTGACTGTTGGAGGACAGGAGAGCAACAGTGACATCAGAGGTGAGGACAGGAACTGCTGAAGCTTGTAGTCTGCAGGTGACATTAGCTTGGTAAGAACCACAGCTTTGTTTCCTCAAGAGGGTCTGGCCACTCTGCTGTTGAGAAACCATTGCTTCCTGTAGGTGTGGCCTGTGTTGAGCTTTTACATTTTACCCGATTGCTAACGCTTCCTTGTGTTGAACGTAATGCACCAGTTTGATACTAAGAAGCTTACCTGACGTTGCCTGCACTGTAAGCAACCATCCTCCATAGATAACTTTTCTGAACTATGCAGCTGTTAATGTTAATTTAATATTTAGACCAACACGGTCTGAACAGCTTCATTCACTTCCTCCGCTGCCATTGCTAAAACTACAGAGAATTCTAAAGCAGTGCTTTGTTCTCAACTTCTCCTTCTGTTCACTGATTGGCCATCAAAAACTCTACCAGAGACTGTGATGGAAACAAGATTTTTTTCTATCAGAATTGCACAGAAAGGCAATGGTCAGGCTAGATGGACATACAGTATTCCTTCTTAATTATCTCTCAAACTGTGAGAAACAATTGAGAAAGAGAGTTTATTTTATTGAATTAGCATGTTGTGAATTTACACCTGACATTTGTTCCGCTTTAAATGAACCACAAGTTATTCCCCCGTCTCTTAGGACTTTGTGTGCAGGTGTGAATTCACTAATGACATTAACTAATGTTAACGAAGATAATCAGTTTTACATCACTTTTCTGAAAGCTAAATGCGTGCAGGTGGGATATTGACATCTGAGTTGTTTTATTTCCTCTTCAGATGCCCAGCAGAACAGAGAGTTGGTGATCCAGACGCTGGATAGCGTAGTGCAGGCTGGAGAGGGACGCCATGTCACGCCGGGGTTACACCAACTTCCTGTCCGTCCTGTTACCCAGAATGGCAAACACATCACTGCTGCTGTTTCCACAGTAACCAGCTTTGCTAATTCATCTGGTAAGCTTTTTCAGTTTTTCTGGGTACAGCTTACCTCTGTAGATCAGAATGTTAATAAAAAGTCAATTTAATTCAAGATGATCATGGAAAACCAGGAAAGTTATGGAATTTCATTTTTCCATTTTCAAGACCTGGAAAGTCATGAAATTTCACTTCAGGTCATGGAAAGTCATGGAATTTTCAAATAAGGGCAAAAAAAAAATGCTGTTTTTCTCTTTGTGGTGCATGTGTTTCTGTGGTTCTCGTCTCGCAATTGGGCTGGTCTGTGTCAGACATTGAGAACTCCGGATATTATTTCAAGACTGGTGTTCTGACTATCTCCTGTCATGTTTACAAACAGAAAACTGTAGCGGGTCGTGTTAATATTAAATATATTGGATAACATTTGAGTGACGGGACTGAAGTGGAAGCTTAGGCGTTATGCTTAGCATAGCATTAGAACTATTTATATGCATGATGAAACCACAAGAAGATCACTTCCTTTATCTGAATATTCTACCTGTTTAAAATGAAAAGCTATAGTGGGTCACTTTGCAGACGCAAAATTATACTGAAGGTCCTGGAAAAGTGATGGAATTTTTTTTTCTAAATGCCAGTGGGAACCCTCAGAAAGGGACACTCATACAGTAGATTGACTTTACACACAGTGCCATATTTCAATTAGTTATTACTGTCAGTTTAGCTAATTGTCTTACAGCTGATTAAAAAACACAGTTTCTCTAAAATCTGATGATCCTTTCAGAATGATAAAGGGCTTTTAATCTAGACATGTTAGCCTGCTGAAATATTTGTACTCAGTCTGTACTCCTTTTGCATTAATGAGTGTAACATGGCATCACATGGCATTGAGGAGATCAGCCTGTGGTTCATTAAGTCTGGTGTTGCTAATTTTTCTCTGTTTTTTTTATGAATATAATTCAATTCAGTTTATTTCTAACACATTTTCTCAAGACACTTTACAAAAACATCCAATTCAAGCTAAGGTAATGTTTCTATTTTCTGAGAGATTTTTAATCTCTTGGTTATTTAATTGTTCTGAATTATCCATAAACAATGACAGATTTATAAAAATCTGTATTTTTCCTACTATGAAACATTCCATGTGTTTTAACTGGAGTTGCAACATTTTGGCCCAGAACTGAGCACCAGGTGCATCAGGTGCTCTGATGCACCTGGCACCATCCATAAGAGCTAAACTTTGCTGTCTGCCCCTCAGGCCTGAGCAGCCCCCTGCAGATCCTGGCTGCCCAGGCATCCACCTCCCCCCCAGTGCTGGTGGGCCGGCAGCCTGGCGGAGACGCCTCCTCTGGATCAGCAGGTGAGCCGGTGGCCAAGCGGCCAAAGATGGAGGATGAAGGAGAGACTGAATCTGCTCAGCACCAAGCTACTTCTGCCCCACAGCCTGTTATTGTTGCTATAACGTCACAAACCCATGAGCCTCGTCAATGAAACCAGGGGTCTCTCACCAGGTGTCCAACGGGCATCCTCTGTCATCTCCTGAATGTTTTGCCTTTTGACATAAATACGACTGTATTTGTTGAAGGGAATGAATTTGGTCAAATGTAGATTTGTTCTACATTTTAGAGGCAAGTGTATCTGGCTTCAGTTTGTTTCATCTTATGTTAATCAAAGGAAACTGAAGATATTTAGGCCTGATAAGCAGAATGGTTTAGCACTGCTTTAACTTTCTAAACAATAGAGAAATGAGGAATGTGGTGAAACTCCAGCCAAAGACCCATCCTTGACTGCTGCATTGGTTAGTTAGTTTAAATATGGAGACTTGGTGTAACCTGTGGAAGCTGGCAGCATATTAACCAGGTTTATGTCACCTGGGAGACCAGGCATCAGTTTTATAAAGGAAGCAATATTCCGTGACAGTAAAATGAGACCGAAATCCCCCCAAAACAAACAGGCTCAGAGAAACAAAAGTATGAATATTAACCTTAAGACCAGAATGTAATAGCTCTTGCCTTTTCACAGAAGCAGAAAAAAAAAAAAAAAACAAATGTTGAGGAAATGCAGAAAAAACAAAAAAACAATCCAGCTGTTTCAGAGTGAAGCTTCTCACATTCAGGCCCAACAGACTGAGGATGGAGAATGAAGACAGGCAGCTACTGCAGGCTGACTGAAGTGGAGGGCTAACCCAATGCTGACAAACTGATTGTTTTTTATTTCTTTAGTTTGTGTAGTGGTGTGAGGAGAGGTGAAATGGCCTCTGCGCAGATGTTTTTTAGCACAAAGAAGAGCTATTGTAGTGATTCTCAAAGCCTTAAAATATTTCTACTCATCTGAAGTTTTATTTTAGCAGTTTTACTGTTTTAGACTAATATAGCGCTTAAACAGTACACAATCAGCAACACTACGGCAGCAGCATCAATTAACTTGTTTCAGTTTTTGTAAGAGAATAAAAGGACGGGACCAACTTATGACCAGAAATTTTTTCAGCTTGCTTTTCTCACTCTTCATTCACAGTTCTTCCTCTGTGATTAATCTCTCCTTGCAAGCTCTACAAAGGCATCAAGCTGTTGCAGATGCTGCTTTTATTAGTTTTGTTCTAGCACTTTCTCCCCCGTTCTTTTATCTCCTCACTCTGCCTTTAGCACCTCAGAATGTCCTCACACAGGCTTCATGCGCAAGATTTCACTGATTGTTGTTGCACAACAGATGGATGCATTATGATTGTATGGTGCTCTGCTAAGTAACAAAGCTAATTAAAGTTCTTATTTTGAAAAAAAAAATTGTATAAGAGCAGCTGTCGACAGGTAAACCTGGGAATAGAGGTATAGGTATTTTTAATGTCCCTGTTTTTGTGATTTGTTAAAAAGTGTAGCACAAATTAAAATTCTTATTGACATAACTCCTTGTCTTCTCTTACATAAGACAAAACACAATATTTAAACAAGTTGATTTATTGTCAAAGAATCCAACAATATCTCGTTTTCTTGTGTACCATTGTTCTTAATATACTGATCAGATTACATGCATGAGGTGATGCACCATACAAAATTGAAATATTTCCAAAAATAAAGCAGAGGAATAAAGTTCGCAAGGAAATAAAGTAACTTTGGTAATGGGAAAAAAGATGGTCTAAAGTCCCACATTCTTAAATTTCAACATGTAATACTTCCAGATTTGACTCAAACTTGTTTTTGGAGTTAAATTTCTCTTTTAATGAACTGTTTTAGAATGAGAGCAGACACTAAGATAAGTGATGTGGTGTTCCTTGCAGGAGGTGAAGCTCTGATGAAGCTCTCGTCCCCATCCCTTCCTATGGACATTTCGTTATGCGACTGAATTCTAAAATGTTGAACAGATTGTTCAGTTACAGGTTTTATAATTTTGTATTTCACCCTTTGTTTCTTGTTTGTACATCTGATCCCTGTTTGTCAGCTGACTGATCAGAATTCTGATCGATCAGAAACTGTGATCAAACCAAAATAACTGAAGTAACCTTCTGCTAGGTGTTAGTTATTGAACTCACATCTTAATATTTATGAGTAGATTTAGAAAATGTTTTAAAATGACCAGTTGTTGGTACAAGACATCTCCCAGGTTAGTACAAATTGACAGCCTGAAATCCCCCACAGCAAACGGTTTACATAACCAGCCCCCAGTTTGGCCCCTTGTCAGTTTTTTAACAACCTTATGTGTTGCCCCATCAGGCACAGAATGATAAAATATCCAACGTAGTGCTTTTAATCCTCACATTTATCCAGATTCTTTACATATGAAAGGCATCGTTCATGCACTGCTGTCAGGTGTTTGGACTGAATGGTGGACCATGACCAGCAGTGCCAATAAGACGGCGCCGATGGAGCAGCAAAGTCATGACTTACAGTGGAGAAAATAAGTTTTTATTTGTAGATTTACAAATATGTTTGCAAGTTTTCTTGCTTAACTTCATTTTTATGGTTACCTTTTATATAAGAAATCCAAGCACAACAGATTACATAAATTCAACGGGAATGCACCAATGTGAGAATTTGATATTATTGACATTCAATATTTTCCCTTTCCCTTATGTTTTCCATAAAACATTTTCTATCAATAGGTCTTATCTAGAGTTGATTATTTTGTCTCCACATTAAAGTCAAGTAACCATAAATATGCTTTGTGGATTTCTTCATGAGCAAACTTACATAAATATGAAATTGAATACTTATTTACCCCAACTGTGTCCAGGTTTTTTGATAAGCATCTATAGTTTTATCTTTAGAATGGCAGAAACCAACACATGGTTTCTGCCATTCTTATGACCCAATTGAGTGGCTCCATAATGCTGTTTTGTTTCTGAATGCTCACATTTCTCGGATATGGCCGCCAATAGAAGAACAGATTCAGTTTGGCCTCATGTTTGTAGCAGAATACCAGAAGTCTTGGAAGCTTCCAGGAATGTGCTGAAAGGTGACAGCACATTCCTAAGGCTAAGACAGTGCTACTACAATGAAATGGCTTTAGCCTCGGCAAGGAGGCAATCCTCCCTTCAAATTGTGTATACTGTGACTCCAACTAACATTGCCAAGGAAACTTATGCAGGTAGCTCTCTCACCCAACAGGGTCAACCCAGAGATCAATGTTTTTCCCTCCTTTTTAAAAAGTATTTTCAAATAATAAACAGCATTAGCTCACCTTCCTTCAGATCCAGTTAAAATGTATTTGTCTACCAAAAAGGCAACTGGTTTCAACAAAAGATTCCTCCACGTGGATTCTTTTTAAAAGTTTTGTTCTGTTGTATACATGAACACTCAAGTGTTTTGTGTAATTGTAAATGTAGCAGCATGTAAAAAAGTTGCTGTAATGCACAAACCAGAAGAAAGAAGTGGAAATAAATACAGAAGTTTTAAAGAAAGGACACAAATAATTAACGTCCCATCATTCCATAAAACATTTTCCATCAACAGGTATTCGTTTTTGTCTCCTCACAAACAGGAATAATCCCAAATTGCTTTCTGTTCATCTGGCTGATAAAATATTTACAACTATTTGCAGTGTGAACAGAGTGGCACTAAGGAGCTTGAAGCTCAATGTTTCCACCAGGACTCAGCTTTCTCAGCCAGAACCTTTACATCCAAAACCTGGTACAAAAAGTAAACATTCAATCACAAAAGTTTGATGGTGTCAAGAACTCCTAACAAACAACTTTATAAAACATTCTTTTCCAAAAGCACATCATCAAATGCTTTGACATAAACAGAAGGATGTCTCTCCAGTTTTACAAACGGCTGCTTCACAGCAACAGCTGAGCAATGAATCAAGCTATTTCCATCTGGAATTAAAGCTGGAAATATTCCACAGATTGAGGAGAATATCCTGTGCTTTAAATGCCAGGCTGCCTGGAAATGATTAATGAGCATCACTGATGCTATTTTACAAATTCAAGATTCCCAATCTGATATTTACATGTAAGCCATAGCTGTGTGAACCCTGCTGAGCTTTGCATGTGTCAGCATCATGGTGCTAGTGGGGCAGTGGTCAGCAGGACGAGGCACTGATCTTCTCTGAGACCTCGGGGTCCGATTTGGCTACCAGGAAACGCAGTCGACCCCCTCCTAGACGAATCAGATCCACCGCACTGTCGGGGTGAGCAAACGGAAGTGAGAGAGGGAGGAGACGAAGAGTCTGGTTACATGGAGCTCAGCAGAGACGGAGTAACAATAAACAGCACATCACTGTGAGCTAGAACCGATCAATCAGATTAAGAGGTCAACACCAGAGAGCATGATGAACACTGAGGGAAGACTGCTCTCTCCACCGCTTCTTTACCTTTGGTAGTCTGCTCCAATCAGACTGGTTCCATTCACTGCCAGGATGCGGTCGCCAATCCTCAGCCTGCCGTCAGATGCAGCCGGCCCGTCGGGGATCAAGGTCCGGATGTAAATACCGGGAGCATTAAGGGGGGTGTGCTGCCAAATGGAGAGAGAGTTACTGCAGGTCAAGAGTCTATAAGTGGATCTATAAAAGGCAGTTTGGCTAAAATATACACTGGTTACTAAAATAAGATCAGATTTATTTTTAATTTTCCGTTTACTCATAATTTACCTAAAAATTTACATTTTATACCTTTTTTACTTGGTAAGATAAGAACTGTGAAATTTCAAATTCCTGTCCGCTGCTTTTGATTTACAGTCAGTCCCAACATTGTGAAATGAGTAATGACTTACATACTGCACTGTTTAGTGCACTGTTTAGTGCAGTATGGCTTAAAATAAATTCACATTTTATTGCAGCAGTGTAATCTCACAGTAACAAAATCAGAACGAAAAGCAACTAGATCTTGCAGTTCCCAAGTCTCCATAACAAATAGACGCCTTCTGGCCTATCCATGTCCTTCCATCACAGTAGTAATCATATGACTTTAACTTGTACTGCAGTTCCAGTATTGTGGTTGCTGAACCTTTATGTAACAAGCAGTCCAGCTGAGCTTGGTGTGAAACAAAATAATTATGTTGAAAAGTACAATATGTGTACAGTTTGTGACATTAATCCCACTTCTTCCAGTATGTGATGTCCTGAAGAAGCTCATTTCAAATCACAATATTTTTCAAGAGAAGAATTTATGTTTGTGGTGCTATAAATTCTGTGCTATGCAGTCACCTGAAAAAGTAATACTCACCGGTAATTTTTAAAATCATAATGTATCTGATTTGAAAATGTACAAATTTCAAATCAGATACATTATGTATTATCATCAGAATGGTTTAAAACAAAATCGTGATAAATTCTGAATCTATATCTCCCACTCCTAAGTGTCACTTGGTCCTACAGTTGGACTGTGATCCAAAGCTCATAACCAGATCAACACAAACTGATTCAGAAGGTACAGAAGTGAGCTGTTTTTCAGAGTGAGGGAGGCAGCACTCAGAGATCTGACTCTGCTGCAACATAACACTAAATGCCATCCTGTTGGTAAAGAGAGGCTTCATAAAGAATTGATAGCAGTGGTAACAATAATGTAGCACCACGGATTTTATGAGTTATTTTTCATATTTTGTCCACTGAAGAAACATACACATTTAAAGGTTATATTTTTCAGTCTGAGATTCTGAAAAAAAAAAAAAAAGATTTTAAGGGTTTCTCTACATTTATGTGCTGTAAATGTCTTTGCCTTGAAGTTTTGCAGCACTCTCACAAAATCAACTGTATCATAATATGGTGCTCCAAAATGTACAAAAAATTTCAAATCAGATACATACTTCCTAACAGTAACAGACCACAGGAGATTTGATCTGGAAACATACCAGGCCGTCTATGAGTCCCATTCCCAGTCCGTAGGGTCCCTTGTCGAGTTCCACTACAAACACCACACACAAATCATCAGCAAGGGAAGGAGCGCCGGGGGAGGAGACAGGGAAAGGAAACTCACAGCCACTAATACATCCTGCAGAGGATACACACAGACACACGCACGCACATTCACACATACGCACACGCATACAAAAGGCACAAAAACACACAGAGCAGTTTGCTGTGGGGCTTGACAAACATCAGAAGGGTCACTGCTGACCTAGAACAACACAAACGAGAGTCTACAGCTGTCACTACTGTAGCTCACTTCACACAGCTGACCTCTCCACACATTGCAACACAACCTAACAGCTGAGATCAGAAAGTGTGACGGATTCCATCGGCTCATTTTGACTCTGAGGTCTAACACAAACACAAAGCTATCAAAGTAGCTGGACTTTGATAGCTTTGTGCTTGTGCTTTGTGTTTGTTCCAGAGTGCAACTAAAACACTCTGGAACACTCACTATTTATACAGGTTTATATAACTGATATAAATAGTGAGGGTAGTGGCTGATCACTTCACCCAATGGTAATCAGGGTTAAGTTTCTGCTGCTGTTAGTGTGTCAGCTGCCAAACGGTAGAAAGTTAGAAAAAGCTTCCAAGTACAAAACAGTTCAGTTGCACTGAGAAGGCACAAATCCAAAGATCAAGCTCTACAAGCTCATTATTGGCCATTAGGGGGAGACAAACCCTAAAAGTAGTGATGAAAATCCAATTTCATCCCTAATATGATCAGGCACCAATTTATTGGCATTAAGAAAAATAAAATGTGTCAAAAATGCAAACAATTCAAATCTAAAAGTACTTTCTTGATCCCAAAGAGAAATTGAATGCAGCCAAACCTAACCAAACACATTTTTCTTAATTTACTACATGCACATTCAGAAAATAAGTTATAAAATATTTGAACACGGTAAAAATAAACTGCATTGTTTGTCTGATGTGTTATTCTGTAGCAGATAATGTTCTGAAACCAGTGAAATGTGAAGACACATTTCCATCCAGATCAAATGGTTTCTTTCACCATTTCCATTTAGCCTGCAGCTGTTCAAGTGTTACATTTTGTTCCATTTTTTCCTTCATTACCTGACTTGCCTGTAACTGCAATTTTAATTTTGTTATTAGAATTTCAACACCAGTATGCATGGTTTTCAAAAATCTGAATATAAAATATTTAATTGTATGAACATCAGTACCCTATATTCAGCTATTAATTCTGAAAAACATCTAGTACAGCCAACGGTCCTCACAGGTCACATAATAAATATATATGTTTTAATCTCTGTTCTGTGATGAATTCTGTAATAAAACAAAGCAATATCCTAACCTCATGGATCACTGCTGAATCCATCACCAACAGTGATGGAAGAGTTTTCATGAAAACTGATTCACTAAACTTTCAGGCCAGCCAAGCAGAGTTTTAAGGAAGAAACCAAAAGGGCCAGGGCAACTCTTTAGGAGCTGCAGAGATCTACAACTCAGGAGTCTCTAAATGTGCAAAGCTGATTGAGATGGGAGCCAATCACTTGCAGCTTTAATTATGCCAATGTTGTTCTGCAAAGTATTGTCTCAAAATAGCCGTATACAAGTATATGATGCACTTATTAGTTTATTTGTTTTGAAAAACATTTATTTTCCTTACATTTGTTTATTATGTTGTACTTTAAATTGGTGTATCACTTTACATTCAAATAAAATATGTTAAACTCTGTGAACATTCCAAGGGTATGAATAATTTTGCATGGAACTGTGTATGGTCTGTGGGAAAGCATGGCTTTTACTGTATGTTATGTTTTTATTCACCCTGGACTTTGTGTTTGGTCCTACCTTCCAGTCCATTTGTGAGGAGTCCGTTTGTCTTTTTACATTCTGCCAGAATTCTGGCTGAGCAGCCATTAGTCTGAATGCTGGAGCAGAGAATGGGTCCCCCTCCACTTCCCCCTTCTGGGTACAGGGGGGTGTTGGGTGGGGTCAGGAGGCAGGATGGGTCCGGATTGGCTGCACGAGGATGGTGAATAGTTCCGTTCCTTCTGAGGCTGTGGGTTTGTGTCTGGCCCGGGGGCCGGTCTCTTCCCCTCTCCTCTGCTCCTGTCTCATCCCCGGTGCCCCTCCCAGAGCGGGGGCTGCTGTGGACCGGAGGTAGCAGCTCCCTCTGGGTTGTAAAAAGGCACGACAGACTTTAAAGGAGAAACTTAATGATATGACAGATGGAATTGAGTTTGTCTCTCACCACTGATACAGGATGCACTTTGTTTCTAAAAATAAGATGTCAGTTTAAATAATTAAAGTTTCAATTTATAATCCTTTTATTTACAAACCTTTCTCTTAGTGCATCTGTGACTGTATGAATCTCTGGTGTACATATGAGGTGCTCTAACACCAAAGATTATGTTCTAGTTAGCTGTTCCCAATAATTAGACATCCCAAAGTCTAATCAGATTAACCATGATTTAACCGTGTCTAGGTTTGTGTGAGTGCATGTGTATGTGAGCCAGAGTTGGCTGGAGAAGAAGGTTTTGTCTTTTGATTGGGAAGTTCCTTATAATCCCACAACTACTACAGCTGCTGGGTCACATGACCTGGATTAGTGGGAGGCATTCCTACTCATGGATTTTTCTGACCTGGACGTCTGGCCAGCCGGCCGTGTTGGTTCCATTGGACTGTGTGTGCACACTGGGAGTGGTGGTGTGAGTTTGAGTCTTGGTCTTCAGACCCCACAGGTAGTGACGGACATAGAGTAGCTGTCTGTAGATGCTGTCCTCCACACACTCGCTGTCCAGGTCCACTCTAAACCCTGAGCTCGGAAGGACGATGGGCGGGTGGTTCTCAAAGCTTTCCAGGAGGTCAACTGAACAACCCAACAAAAACATTCAGTTAAGCACAAAATTATTCATTCTTCTTTACAATATTTTTGTTCGACTGGAGGCCCAGTCAGAGTCCTAACTTAAATCTGATGGTGGTCGAAGACCTCCTCAATCACACCAACATGTCTTCCTGTGCGGAAGGAGAGCCTGGGGTCTCTGGTGTTGAGGTCACTGAGGTGGTTAAAGAGCTCCTCAGTGGCAAGGCCCCAGGGGGATGAGATTCTACTAAAGTTCCTTATAGCTGTGTATGTTGTATGGTTGAGTTGGTTGATGCGACTCTTGAGAGAAATGCATCAACAGATCCAGGAAGAGCATTGTGGTTTTCATCCTGGTCATCAAACACTGGACTAGCAGGGTACCTGGGGGTTCACTCAACTGGCTACATGTGCTTTGTGGACTTGAAGAAGGCATTTGACCGTGTCCTTCAGGGACACTCATACATTCCTTCATTCATTTATAGTCACAAGTTTTGTGTTATGATTGTACGAACAACATCACAGATATGAAAGGCCAAGCCAGTTGAGGATACTTCCTGACCACTTGGTGAGGTGTCTCTTCTCCACTGGGAAGAGACCCAGAGAAGACCCAAGAGAAGCTAGAGGGATTCCCCCTGTAGAAGCCAGAGCTGTGGCTGGAGAGAGAGAAGTGTGAGCTTCCCTTATCAGGCTGCTGCTTCTGTGGCCAGAACCCAGATCAGCAGAAAAAAATTGATGGATTTAATTATATATAGATATATATGAAGAGCAACAACCAACACTTATTTTATTGTCTTGATTATTCTGACAATTAATCATATTTTAAAAATTGGCAAATTTTTTCAGCCACTTAAGTCCTTTTTTACAGAGTATTTGAAATATTAAAAAAAAAACTGACGTATTTATTTGAATCTATAAGAAAAATAAACATTTTATTGCTGACGATCCTATAACATAGTCTTACTTTAGTAAATGCTTGGTCATTTGAAGCAAAAGATGCATATGCTGCTGAAAGTTACTTCTAACATCAACATGTGAAAAACTCAGCCCTTTCTGCTCGACTTATCAGTACAGTAGTCTGCTGACAATTTTATTTGATTAACCATTTATTAATTGGATAACAAAAAGTGCCTAAGACGGGTTTTTTTCCACAGAATTGGAAGCAGGTGAAGCTAAACTATGTCACTTGAGTTCTGGGGAAAACATATTATAGTCAAAGGTTCTTTTTTTAAATCTATATGCAGAATGTTAAGATTTTTTGTATACTTTTGTTTTAATTACTACTCTGAGTATGTTGGATTTTCAGCAATGGACGTTTTGAGTATAGACTTCAGTTAATGATTACTCTATTACTAATTTTGTTGATTGTTATTTCAATAATTGATTCATCGTGTTTTATTGTTTCAAGCCCTAATATATACAAATATATAGATAATCTAAATACGGCTATCAGCTTCTTCAACCCATGTTATCCAGAAAATGAAGCCAACTGCTGTCATTCAGAAATGATGAGCGCAATCACTTAACAATAATGGGCCTTTATGTCATTGTTACTTGGCGAAGTCACACCTGTACCTGATCTATAGATATAAGCCTCATCCTCACTACTGGGCTGCCATACTGGGACAGGACCCGTCTCTGCTGTCAGCTGGTACTGGGTGAGGATCCTGTGGAGCTGGACTGGTTTCAGAGATGGGTGCTCACTGGACAACACTTGCCAACTCAACTGCAGACAAAGCAGGGAAAAAAAACAATCTGACTTTATTCAGATTAAAGTCAAATTATTTACCTGAACCTTTTGTTTCCCTTTAACAAAAAATTTAAGATAAACTTTATGTGTACCTTAAAGATGACAACCATGAGGTTCTTGAGAGGCTGCCTTACTTTTGCTTAGGACTAATAATGATGTGGTATGTTTCTTCAAACAATACCTCGAACATGCTTTTGTGTGGATCACCTGTGTGAGCTGCTGTGGGGGTGTGGCCACTATGGACACAGTACTGTTGAGTTTGGTGAAGAACTTTTCAGCCAGATGTCCCAGACCGGACTTGGTTGCCCATTCCATCAGCATTCGCAAACACGCCTGGATTTGCAGCGACTTTGAACGCTGGAACCAACCCCGGGCTGGACCTGTGCACGCACACACACAATTGGACACTATATCAAATTCTGTGCACTATAAAAAGGCAGGTGTGTTGCTCTGTACCACACTAGACTTAATTTCTTAATTAAGCTTTCATTGAAGAAAGTGAAACAATAGCAACACCCACTAACCACTTGCAGAATGTAAATGTGGTGTTGCAGAAGGCCTTAGCTGGCTGCGGAGAAGACCAGCTCCAGTCTGAAGCTCTGCTGTAATGGTGCTATCAAACACTGATAGCAGCCAATAGACTTTTTGTTTCACCACAAAGTGAAATACATGGGTAACTTTGCAGTGATAACTCAATTATGGTATCTGGGCTAATCATTGTGAAGCTGCATGGCAGACGGTTCCTCTTCCTCTAGGAAAGCTTGCAATGTTCTGTAAGAGAAAAAAAACTATGCAATAAAAGCATCTCCCTGAAAAAAATCCAGGCTTCAAATTTTGTGGATGCAACAAAAAAAAAAAAAACCAGAACAATACACTGCAATGTCAATAAAAATAGCTTGGACTGAAACACGTGGTCAGCTATGAGTCCCCAACTTCAATGCGTTCAACCACTGAAAGCAGCCAATAGACTTTTTTCAGACAAATGATGTCATTTGTCCTTGGTGCGCATACTCAGAAGAAGTGGTCGTGGCTTAGAGGCTACTGTGTGGGTCACAATATGTGGGTCACTGCCCACATACACTGATTAAGCATCATGACAGAGAAAGGAAATAGTGAATTTATTGTAACAGATAACTCATTTTGAAATCTTGGTTCTTTGGTTTCCATCCTCAAGCACCCCAAAACATAAAAAAAAACAATTACAAAAAGCATGTTTTACACAATTCGCCAGTATATATATGACACACAGAATGATCTCCTTACAACAGCTTTGAGTAAAGGAGATACAAAACAGGGATAGGAGGTGGAGACTGGTCTTAGTCTGTTTTTTTCTGGTATTGGGAAAAATACCAGGAGCCTCGGTTTTGTTCTTGTTTTGTCAGGCTTTGAGAAATTAGGTTCAGCTCTTCCTCCGCTCGTTTCTCCTCATCTTCGTCACCTCTTATGAGTTCTACATTCCGATCGATTTCAACACGCCCTGGTTCAAAATGAAAAGGCTTAACGACGTTACTCATAGCTGTTTTGGCAGGAGGGAAGTAGTTCAAATGGACCTACAGATGTCATTTACCCAGAATGCATTGCAGCACAAACAACATGGCAATGTTCATGTGACAATATTTTATTAAAATTCGTGAAAACTAAATAACCTTCAGTATTATTATTGTGTTATTTATACATCTAAAATAAATATTTCTCAACTAAATTCTATTGTAACAACCAATTATCGATCACTTCAAGATGAAAACAAATATTTGTAACAATAATATTTCTGTTTTGACGCAAGTATAAATTATTGGGCACAAACAATAATCTCAGGGGTAAGACTTCTGTGTCTGATGGGCAAAGACACAGAACAGAACCATCACAGAAGATGCCCATTCAAATGTATTGAACTGGGCTCAACTTGATTAAAATTTGAACTCAGTATGTCACAAAACCAACAGTCTCCCAGCTTCACAGTGACCTCTCTGTAACCAAAGCAAACAGTTCCTCCATCTTAGGTTTCTGAAGTAACCCAGAACACAAACTCATGTTGGTTCTAACAAAGTAAACTGACATCTGACCCAGCAGGTTAGTCTTTTCTGTTTTTAGCTCCATAACAATTTCTCAAGATCCCACTTCTGTTTTTATTTCCTTATATTTTCTCTCCAAACTTGGAGTTGGGCCAGGAAATTAGATTCCACCTATGCATAGGAACCTTGAGTTTACTTTTCAGGGAGAGGCATAGGCAAACATATTTTGTGAATGTATATGAATTAAACTCTGAATGTTTATTTTCAATTAATTTAGGAATTTTCCTTCAAGTAGTTAGACTTTATGATTGTTTGTGTAGATGTATGTTCTACTTCTTAATCATTGAACTATATGATTACAAACAAAATATTTATTACACCATCTATGGAGTAGACAACTAATTCAAAGTCCTGACATTATGCCAGTTTTATGCAAATACCAATGATGCTTATAGTGCCTCACAGCCCTAGGCAGAACAGATCATAATTTGGTTTTCTTCCAACCCATTACACTACTAGAGTAGTATTACTGCAGGTAGCAACCCATAACTTTAGGAAATTGACCACAGAGTCTAGTAGGGCTTTATACTGGAGAACAATACAGATGAGGATATGCAGAAGAAGGTGGACATCATAAGTTACATCAACTTCTGCAGGGATGTTGGGATAACAGTAAGGACTGCATATTGTTTTCCAAAAAATAATCCATGGAACATCCATGGCATAAAGGACCTTCTCAATTATGAAAAGCGGGCTTTTGAGAAAAAGGAGAAGCTCAGCTTTGTTCTATAAGACCTAAAGAAGAGACAGAAACAGTCCATTTTAGATAATAAAAATTCTATTGACTTCTCCCTGATTTTATGGATAACAGCTTACGTTACTAAGAGACCGCAGATTGTCCCACTGCAAAAATGTCTAGGGTATCATTTAGAACAACACAGGAGCCTGTGGTACAATCTGGACCCATTTTTGTTCACTCTATACCCAGGAAATTGTAAGTATATCTCAGAGACCTGTCACAGTGAAAACTATTCTGACGCCAACTATTGTTCCGGTGTTTCACACTGTCTGTGGAAACCTCTGACAGAATGTTGATCAGAGCTGCACCATTTCTCTTTTCCTTATTGCTGTCCGTTCTTCAGAGAGACGAGCTGCTAAATAACAGCTGGCAATCAAATCACTTCAGTGCAATACTTGGCTCAGTTCTGAAGAACAATATAGAGTACTACCCCAGAATACTACTACCACTGAAATAGGTACAAAAATCTCAGAATAATCAGGCAGAGCCACTCCAGATCTGCTAATGGAAATGAATCTGGCAGTGGTGGACCGGGACCGAACCGGTTAGAGAACTAGTGGAGAAGTGATTTCACTGTTGCAAAAAATCATCACTGATCTGCCATCATCAGTGAACAAGCTGACTAGCCTGAGCAATCGTGGAAGGCTCCATTGTAGTGAGCCAGCTGTAGTGTAGCAGAGACAGATTGGGAGGATAAGCAGCATGTACACAAGGGAGACTGGCATCACCAAGACCCTCCTCCTGGTTCTGATTGCTTGTTTTTGACAGTAATGGATTCCCTCTGCAGTTAATACTGGGAGCACTGGGAGAGCAGAGGAGCTTTTTTTTTTTTTTTTTTACAGATTATCTTATACTGCTGAGACATAAATGATATATTTGACAAATATGTAAAAAAAAGTTTTTTTTAGTAAAGGCTACATACTGCAGCTTTAATACTTCAAAAGCATAAGAAATATTGTTGGATTTCAGAAGATAAAAAAAGCCTGGTGGTTATGGCGACTGCTCTTCAGAATTGAGTGGATCAGCTCTTTTGTTCCCAGAAAACTTAGACTTTTTAATACTCTGATACTATATGTATAGCATGGTATTTAATATGTTTTTTTTATTTTCTTATTTAAAAACTATTATTTATTGCACATCTGTAGGTGCACTTGTGGCTGGTGCTACTGGATATGTGAATTTCCTGCTTCTGCATTAATAAAGTATCGATGTATGCATCTATCTAGAATCCAGAAATGTCTGTGCAGACACTGCACATGACAGGAAGCTGCAAGCAGACAATGAACTGTATGTTTGCTGACTGCACACACATTACTCTTTACAATACTCCACCATATGTTCTGGATGCACACACACAGAGACACCCTATTCGAAGTAATAGGCTTATGTCTGGGCTTAATGTTGGGATGAAGGATCTCATACAAACCAGACATCACATAGCATCTCGTCAAGGTGAGATAATGCTTTAGAACAGCTGTTTGCAGACCCACATGCACACATTTAGATAACCCAATCAAGCAAGTCAAACTAAACACACACTCTACCCTGATCTGCAATGTAATACAATATGAACTGTTTATGGGGCCTCTGAAGTGATGTGAAGTGAAGGAGTTATTGTGTGACTGTGAGCCTTGTGGGGTGCCTGATGCAAACGTCAGCTATACGTGCCATAAACTCACTCCTTTGTTTCCATGGACACGATCAGCAGTGAAATATCAATGAGTGACAGAAGAGGGTATGAAGAGGGAGGAGGAAGGGAGAAAAGCTGCCAGCAAAATGGGGAGTGATGAGATGGAGCTGAGGCATTTCTCCTTCTCCCTTTGCCAGACACGTGATCTCATGGGTTTCACCAGTGAGTGTGCTTGTGTGTGTGACAAAAGATATAAGGTGAGTTGTCCAGAAATGTTGAAAATTGCTGATGGTAAATACTGTTTCTGAACTTGAAGCCAGTAATACACAATTAGCAAGGTTATCATAGCAACTCAACCACCCAGACGTTCACCCTGCCACTTTTTCAACTCCACCTCTGCTCTTCTTTGTCAAATCCCTTGATGGCCAGATGGAAAGAACAAGGGAGGAGGGGGAGAAAGCTGAGGAGGAGGGGAAACAGAATGCAGATAGGAGAAGGGCACAGCGGACAAATCTTTGATAGTCAAAATGCTGGTAAGGACTAAAGGGCACACACTAACATATACTAAACAACTATGCACACTAGTAAGGATAGACAGGAGTGTGGGTCTGTGAGTGTTTTTTTTGTTGTTGTTTTTTTTTTGTCTTACCTTTGTCCAGTAACTGGTTAAGCAGTGAAACGTTGGAGAAGAAGAAGAGGTAAGCAAACATCTGACCCTGGATCTCCGGGTGAACCAGGTAACTATGCAGAAGCTCCTGTGCACTCTGAAAAACCTGCAGACACAAAGAAATCAACTTTTTCGAACAAAAATGCCAATACCACTGATGCTTTGTGTATATATTGTGTATATATATATATATATATATATATATATATATATATATATATATATATATATATATATATATATATATGTATATACTTTGTTCTATGATCTGTGAAGACACTTGTAGCAGTTTTACTTGAATTTGATGAGTAAAACTACCACAAACACACCAGAATGTTGATCATTAAGCAATTTTTAGTTTGAAAGAAAATAGGCACAGTTGAATGCTGTGCTTCTTTAGAATCAATTGTCAGCCTTTATTATATAAACTTATATAAACTTTAATAAAGACACAGTGGGTGTCAAAATGTGAGTTTGCCTCAGCTTTTTCTCATAATTCTCAATGAGCTCCAGTCCCTTTTTGTACGTAGGGACAGAAATATCATCAAAATGCTAAATTGAGGAAAAAAAATTGTCAATTATACTTGTGAGAATTGTTTCTCAAAACATTTTAATTTCTGCAAGGAAAATGTAAGGAGAAGGGCACAGTGGACAGTTCTATTGTCCACTGTGTCAAACCCCTTTACACACAATAAAATTAATTCAAGTTCAACACTCTTGACACTTTAGCTTTGACTAATACCTGCACACTTCTACATTTATGACATTTTGTTGCAAAATTTAATGTGGTGTCTGTGCAATGACAATAAAGTAAGTCTAAGACTAATGTATAACTCGGATGCTTACCTGCAGGACCCTGCGGACAGGTTCAGGAAATCCGACACCTCCTTTCCAGCAGGGCTCAGAGCTGTCGACTGGGAATGGATTACAGTCTAATAAACCAGGCAACACCACATAAAGAGCCTACACAAAAACACAAACATGTGCCATGATCAAGATGATCAATCTATAGATGCACCACTTTTATTTCAGGTATGTTCAATACAAGGATAATATGGACAATTTATGTTTGCAACCAGCTCAGTTTTTAAAAGGTAAAGAATATAGTGCCAAAGCAATAGTGACAGAGAACCTTAGTGATATAATAGACACATTGCTGGAATGTGTACATGATCACTTCCTCCAAGATAGTCATAGCCTCTTCATTGGCTGTTATGGTCGCCGATAACAACGACTCCTTTGACCCTGGACAGAGATGACAAGAGACACAGGAACCTTTAAGAGGTTGCAGGAAAAAGGAAAGTGATGCATACAGATGTGTCATATCTGCTGCATGTCTGTGAGTAATGACTCCTCAGTCAGGCCATTTCCACTCATCATTCAGACTGAGTGTGTGGTGTGTTACCTTGCAGCGTCTCTATGCTGTGTGTGTAGGCTGGCGCCCTTTGCTGGATAAAGTAGAGGATCTCAATTGAGTTTGACATCCAGAAGAAGATGGTCTGCAGGTCTGGGATCAGGTCTGAGATGCTGAGTAAAGTCAAGGAGGCTGGGTCCTGACTACACACACACAAGGTAATGTGTTACATTGTTATGAAGACATAGTGAGACAAACAACAGCATACAGACAGGAACACACAGCATAAATTAGAAAGTACTCACTGCTGAGCTTGCTTCTGAGCCAACTCCTTTGTCTTCTCCTGCAAGGCACACATACACCGAAACACACACCAATTAAGTTCCCATTAAACTTGCAGGATCCGAGTAGGTGAATTACGCACCCTACATCTTTTAATGCCTCAGCAAGCTTTCTAAAGAAATATCATTGACATTTACAAAAGACTGGCAGACTCAGAAAACTGAATTTACATAATTAAATTTTTCATAAATGCCTTTGAAAGCCTGTATGACACTTTTGCTATATTCAACTAGTAACTGTAAAATTTGATCATCAAATTTCCAAGAGGATATTTGTTTTAAATTGATGTTGTAGAAACATATGACAAACAATGGGCCTTTATTTTGAATACAAACTCTATAGCTTTATATTTCCCAGTTGAATCATTGTACAACAAACTCAAAGATTTCCTTTGTAACCAATAGCTAAATCCTTTTTTTCCATTACAGCAACTTAATGGCCTTTATAACAGCTTAGTAACCTAATGTGTGTTCTCACTAAGATTTGAAAGACTCCTTTAATGATTTCTATATGCATGCTAAAATTTGATTAAAACCTCCATTAACCTAGGTTTGACATAACATTGGTCACTTTTCGTCTCATCTCTATCAGCGGTTGAGACTCTGGTGGAGGCATGGCCTAAACCAGAGTCAGTGAATGCTCAACAACAATTTCATTTATTGCTATTTTATTCATGAAATAGCAACAGTGCAAATAAGAGGAAGCATCTCAGAGGAGAACATATGTATGTAAACTTCTGGTTTCAAATACAATGGTCAGTTAAAGAATAGAAAAATTTCTATGGGGGAAAAAAAAAGTAATAAACAAAAACACACTAGGCTCTAATATAGTATAGTTTCCTAGATCAAACTATACTAGCATTCAAACTATGCTCATATAAAGCATGTTGAAAGCTAGCCTATCAGAATATTCCTCTAATCTGAGATAACTGATGTACAATTTCACCAAAAGAATAGTCCATGCACTGACACCAACCCATGCAATGGTTTGGATTCGACGGACGATCTTTAACAGCAGTTTGCCAAAGCTGCCAGGAGGGAAGGTCAATGCAGAGTGTTGTATACACAGACAGAGTAGGTAGGCAGGCGTCAGCTTATGGTCATCTCCTGGGGGGCAGAAATTTTATGAGACCAGTTAAAAAATATATTATTGTCTTATTTCATGTTGAGGTGTATATCCGACCTACACATTCATATTGTAATAATCACAATATTTATAGACAAAGGCAAACTCTTCCTACACGAGAATAAGGTGATATAGCTGATAATATGGGAGAATACTGTTACGGATGAAGGCAAATACTGTGTGACTCCTGTCTTTTTAAGAGAGGAAGACATCAATCAAGCTGACGCTAGAGAGATGTCACTTGTATATTTGATTTTCTGTAACTTTCTTTGCTGAAGCCTGTTTTAGCATAAAAGAACTAATTGTTTAAAAATCAGAGGTTTATCTTTTTCTATTCTACAGGGCAGAAAAACATAGTCAACGACTTGTAAGGCATGATTAGACTTGGTATAAACAGAATAGATGTACACTCTGACAACAAATCTGGCATCTTTTGGAATCAAGTTGTTGACACAAAAAGTACATTTTTATGTTTTGTCAAAGTTAATGCTGCTATCATCGATCATCAAAATTAGTATCAAATACAGACTGATTCACCCTCTGGGGAAACAGTCTATATTTTGATATATTAAACTATTAATGCAAATATTTTTGCAATAAATAAATAAGCTAAGTGAGATGTGCTTAAATAAAATAAATAAGTAAAATTCTAAATAAAATTGTGTTTGTAATCTGTTTAAAGGGTTACATAAAACTATACAGCAATAATTTTTATCCAAATTCAACACTGTGCTACAGCCTCCAAACTATCCAAACCTCAAAGAAGAATTTTTCAAAAAAATAACACATTTTAATATTAGACATGATCTCAGATTTCACTAATCACTGGATTCATTAATAACATCAGACATTTCTTTCCACATTATGGTGCCAGTATTCTGAGAATTATCTTGTAATAATGTTTGAAAATCTGTTCAATACAACAGAACTAAAAAATATAAAATCTAGGGTTTCTTAGCACATATACCTGGACATCCAAAGTAACATGTAAATAATCTAATTACTTAGACATAATATTATTTAATCATTATAATTGTAAATTATAAATATCATTATTATCAATAGTAATGCATGAGTAATAAATTCTAGAATTGTGCTGCTGAGGGCAGCAGCACACTGGAGTAGCTCTGCACTTATATTGAGATTATTCTTTTTAAAGGTACTGACCTCCAGGTTCAATAAGAGAGACGATTCTATTCAACAGCTGGTCCTCATGAGCTTGGTCAAACTCCAGCTGTAGCTTTCTTTTTTGACCTGCTCCTTGTCCTGTTGTTTCACCTCCTGACACCATCCCAACACCGCGAGGTTTCACCAGGTGTGGCTTGAAGATGCGTCTAACTGCCGGGACACTGACCACTTGTGAGGTTTTGTCCTTCAGTACAGAACCACACATTTTACAAATTTGAGTCCCATCCTCCTCCTCCTCTATCCCTGAATCATAAAGCTGCCCTAACGTGCGTAGCCGTGCCAAGGTTTGAGCAGGCAGGAGCTTGGCGCCCATGGGGTCCTTGTAGAGGAAGATGTAATGTGCTCCAAAGGAGAGAAGGTCGCCATGTCGCAGCGTCGTTATGCGTTCACAGCGGGAAAAGTTCACCAGCACAGTGGCGTTGAGTACAGGCTCGACAGCTACACAGGAACGGTGACTCTCTGCCAAATCGGCTCCCTTGTTGTTGTTGGTATGATGATGCGGTGCAGGGACTCGGCACAACCGACAGTGGAGGGGAAGGATGTCAGGTGAGAAGAGGCATATGTTGGGGCGGGCTGATGGGGTCTCCTGACCAACTGTGTGCTGCTCTCTGTTCAGAAGATAAACCAGACAGTCCTGCAACACACAGAAGAATTATTGGTACATTTAGGCGTGAAAAACAACTCTAATCACCTGAACCTTTTTATATTTTGTAAAAGTAAAACCATAAACCTCAATGTATTCTATCGGAATTTGTATGTGTAAAGATCAACACAAAGTAGTGCTTTGAAGTGGAGGAAAAATGTTAAATTTTTCACCATTAAAATGTGAAGTGTAACTTATTTTGTGTATGTCTATAGTATAAAATCCCAATAAAATACATTAAAGTTTGTTGCTATATTGTGGCAAAAAAATTTTTAAATAATGGTATTATAAACATTATCTGGTATTTTCACATTATTTTTATTATCTTCACCTGTCGATTGAATCCTTGTAGCAGAAGAAGATGGGGGGACTGGTAGAGAGAGTGCCTCACCCCTCCTGCTCCCTGACTGCCCTCTTCTTTCCTTCTGGAGGGTCCGTCACGTTCTCGACCCCTCAGCGGCCCTGGCAAGGTGGAATAATATCGTTTGGGCTCCTCTCCCACTCCAAGCTGCACATACAGAGAAACGTTGGATAAATTGTGAGGTTATTAATCAAATATTTGTTATTCTCATGTATTTTTATAATGTATCTTTTCTTATCTGCTTTTATTGTTTAATTTCATCTTAGAATTAAGAATGTTTCTTCATTGTTGAATTACTCTGATTCCTTTCTCAGAAGGCCTCACTGAAGGAAAGCAGTGACAACAGGTTTCTGCAGGGTTGCCTCTTTGACCGGCTAGATTGCTATAAAACTATGACCGTGAAGATGAGATTATCAAGTGCAAGATACCTTGTGTTTTAGTTAGTGATTGTCATTAGCGCTGTAGCTATGTGATTAAGTGTTTTCCCCTCCCTTTCGAGTTACAGCGTTCTTTGTGATTAGGGATCCTAAAAACAATATAAAGAGAGGAGCAGGCAAATGTGGTTTCAGAGCGGTAGGAGACTGTAACTGAAAGCACATCTCTGTCTGTTCTCCTCGCGAGTAAGAAAGAATCTAACTCTCTTGTCTTTCCTGTTTGTTTAATCTGTGTTTAATAGGTGTTAAATCTGATAAACGTGTATGCATTTATGTTGTTTGGTGAATAACAAATAATTCATTATTCAAACTGGGTGTGAGCAAGACCCCTACCTGATTAAGGCTTGTTTCGCTGAGACTGCGGCAGAAGGATGAATTGCTGGAGCGGGGCAGGGTCAGTGTCCCCTTAGCCCTGTTCCTCTGGAGTTTCCGGGCCTGGGCATTAATATCTGTAAGGAGGCAGAGAGGAATAACAAGCATGAGAACAAGGAGGGCAGGGAAGGACAAGGAAGAGAACATGTAGAGAATAAAGCGAAAGGGAGACAAAAGAATGGAAAGAGCAAAGAGGAAGCTTTCTTTGATTTGGTGTATTTTGTTAACGTGAATGCTGAACACATGCATGAACCGACCAGATTTAAAATACTTTCTTAGGGATTAGTGGCACATGTATAATAACTTATGTGTAAATAAAATAAAAGCTTAGGGGATTAAGTGGTAAAAAATGAAGCATCGCAAGAAGACAATGGTGAAGAATGTACCAAGTGAGCAACTCCCATGAACCAAATACAGGCAATCTATGGCCAGGCTATGTAACACACACACATCCTAACACACTCTACAGTGGCTTGCAAAAGTATTCATACCCCTTGAACTTTTCCATACTTTGTTACATCACAACCACAAATATAAATTTGATGTGAAAGACCACATTAAATTGGTATACAGTTGTGAAGTAGAAAGAAAGTTAAACATACTTCAAAACAATTTTTACAAATAAAGCTATGCTCTCCTTGACTTCATGCCCTGGTAGAGTGACCCATCTTTCTCCCTGACCTCTGCTGTGTTACTTGGATGGGTCTTAGGTGATGACTGATCCTCCATCTGGAAATCACCAGGTTCAGGCATAAATTCAATGACTGACTTTGTCATCATCTCATTGGATATCTTGGACACTCAGGTGAAGAGAGGTACAGAGCTGTCCAGTGACCACTATCTAGTGATGAGTTAGCTCTGCGGGTGGGGGAGATGTCAGTCAGACCCCAATGTATTTTGAGGATCTGCTGGAAATGTCTACCAGAGTCTCCAATGAAAATGAACTTTCACTCCCACTTGTTCCGATGTTTACATGCTCCGATGGAGGTGGGGGACATTGAATCTGAGTCGAGCCTGCTTTAAACACTTCTCCACATCTTTCTCCCTGACCTTGGACTTGTTACTTGGACTTCATGATGCTGTTCACTCCCCAATATTCTCTTAATCAACCCATGAGGTGTCACAGAGCAGATGGATTTCTACTAACATTAGGTTACACAGGTGGACTCTATTTAGTCATTAGCAGAGAACATGTTCTAAATACTTTTCCACACCACATTTTTCTATTTGTAAGAAATGTTGACCTTTATATTTCATAGGAATGTAAATCGATTTATGTTTGTGGTTGGAATGTGACAAAAGATGGAAAAGTTCAAGGGGTATGAAAACTTTTGCAAGCCACTGTATCTCACTGACTTATGGGGGGTGACAACACAGGTAGAGGTGGTCTTCATGGAAATGACTAACAGCCACCATACCTAAGGCCAGTCCCCACCTTTAGAGCTGGACTGTACCACCCGACCAGACCGCAGGGGGGAACTCCTGTGTTTGGCCAGCCCAGACCGACCCATTAGAGTCGCCAAGAATTGAGGGGTTCTGGGCCCTATAGCAAGGTGGAAGGGGTTAGGAGGGAAGTGGGGGGCTGAGAAAACAACCCCACACCCAGGGTACACTAAGAACAGAATTTACCCCCAAACACGCAAAACCTTTTACACAGCACATGCCACAAGACATACATACAGAAAGAAGTGAAGTAACATAAGTAGTTACTACAGAGAGATAGTGTAAGGTGTGGCAGGATTTTATTCTTAACATACAAATGCCAAATTGGATGCCAAATTTTCTGAAGCAAAAACAAAAATCATGAAGTTAATTTGTGCCAAATCTACGTGAGTGTGTTTAATGAATGGCTGCAGGGTGAGAGAAGCTGGACTCGTTCTTTTTAAGTTGTACTCTACATGACTGCAATATTTGAAACCAGTTCATAAACAAAGCCTACATTTATCATGCCTGGAAATCAGTTTTGCCAGCTCAGCTTTTAAAAACTAATTTGTTTTGATCCACTTTATCAAAGTGTTTGAAAAGCATTTTCACTGGATTAAATCTAGTTTAAAAACTGGCCATGACTGTTCAACTGCAAGTTTGAAAGTCATAAAGGCTAAATTAATAAACATGAAACACATGGGTTTTATTGACAAGCTTGGTTGCATTGCAATTTTTTTTCTCTGAGCTGCACCATTTCATGGATTGATCCATGTAATGATGTTTTACATGGATGTTTTAGTACCACCATATTTTCCATCAACATCATTAACACAATGGAGTCATTAGTATATCTTTATGTTGATGACACAGTTCTATACTATTGGTTGATCCCCAGACACAGACAATTTCGCTAAGTTATGGTATGCTCCAGGAGGACTTCTCCAAATAGCACCTATAGTTAAACATCAAGGAAATGAAAGTCATGGGGTTTGATAAGATAGGCTGATAAACATCATAAAATAATATGATTTTACCTTTTTTTGGTTGTTTTTTTTATATAAAAAAGTAGAAGAAAAAAAATAAGTTTTATTAACTTTAGTGGCGTTTATTGAAGAGTGGGTTAATCCACAGCGTTCCTCAGAATTCTCTAGCCCTCCCTCCCCTTCCCCCTTACCTCCTCAGATTGGAAATAATTTCCATTAATGCACAACATCAGGTTGCATTCCAACACCATCAAAGCTGAAACCTAAACATTCACAGAAAAACTGCTCAGTTAGCAGCCTGTGTGAGCATCACTTTGGCACAAATTAACTTTCACAGAACAAAACTACAGCAGGATGACTATACCTCAGGTTAGCAGTGAAAGTTCTACAGTATCTTTAAATTGTGATTTCTTTTATTAAAGTGTATGTGAGAATAGACAATTCACACATGAACATGCACGCTCCCACATACACCAGAGATTAAAAAAACAAACAAAAGATAAAAACTGCTAAAAGAACAAGAAAAAAAGTCCCATCTGGGTGAGTTTTTTAAAAGCTAAAACAGAGAAAAAAGGTTAGTATGAAAATAAAAACATCAAAATGTGATTAGTGAACATATGTTTTTTCATATAAAGCAATATTTGGTGTTATATTATCATTTGCGCTTTTATTTGACAGCATTTTTAATGTTTTAGAATGTTAAACCAACATCTCACCTTAGAACAAAAAGGTTTTTACATGATAATACCGATCATAGCATAAATGTTTTGAATTAATCCAACAACTACTAAATACAGCCTACCAAATACGATGTTTCAGTTTCATTCAGAAACAAACAACTTTGTTCATACATGTGACGGTCTCGCTATGGTGTCCTGAACCAAGCTAACCGTCAGCCAAACTCCTTTTACGCGAGTCAGGATTAAACAGCTCTTCCTTTATTTACATAGAATGGAGTGAAACTGCCAAAACAGGAACAACATAAATTCAATAAATAACTTGCTTTGTTACACACACATTAACATAAACGCTCATTTTTAAATATACATACAGGCATTGCGTCGAAGAACTCGATCTGAACACGACATTTACAATGTATCCATCCGAACATCCGCTCTGCCGTTAAACAAACTGACTAAATGACGTAAACGTAAAACATTTCCCCGGAAGTCCAGCAGGTGGCAGCAATGTGCCATGCAAAATAAACACTCACAGGTTACATGACACTCCCCGCCTGACATCAGTGATGTCACAAAACATAACACGCACAACAACCTTAACTAGCGGGCTCCTCGGGCATAAGGAGCACAACCTCAGAAATAGGCCTCAAATAAGTCTTTGCACCGGCCTGAGATGTCACTTTCAGTTCCACTTTACGAACCAAACCGTCGGCACTCGGGTGCGAGGCTACAACCACAGCCATTGGCCATTTGTTGCGTGGTGCCTGACTGTCCTTTAGGAGCACAATGTCTCCCTTTTGAAGATTGCGATGTCGTTTGTTCCATTTGCAACATGGCTAGAGAGAAGACAAGTACTCACTCCTCCAACGATTCCAAAAACTGCTGGCAAGTGCTTGCACTCTTTTCCACTGACAGCCAAATAAATCCTTGTTTGTAAACTCTCCACAGAGAGATGCATTAGATGTCTTCTGGGTGAGAAGTGTCGCTGGTGTAAGCAGGAATGGTGACTCAGGGTCTGTAGACACAGGAACGAGCGGTCTGGAATTTATAATGGCTGACACCTCAGCCATCAGGGTACACGACACATCATGTGTGAGATGCACATGTTCTTTTGTCAGCATGTTATCTAAGATCCTTCGGGCAATCCCGATCATCCTCTCCCATGCTCCTCCCATGTGACTGGAATGAGGAGAGTTAAATTCCCAAGTGCAACCATGTTCATTCAGGTATCTTTGGACGCTGTCACCCTCCACTTTTCTCAGAAATCCCAACTCTTTCCGTGCTCCGACAAAGTTGGTTCCACAATCTGACCTTAGATGTTTGGCAGGTCCCCTTATTGCAAAAAGCCTCCTCATAGCATTAATGCAACCTGATATATCCAGAGTAGAAATAACTTTGATGTGCACTGCTCTGGTCGACATGCACATAAACAGCAGAGCCTACTGTTTACTTTCTGTTTGGCCCCTTCTTGTCCGTCTGGCAGTAACTGACCATGGCCCAAAAACATCCATCCCAATGAACGTGAAAGGTGGGGCTGCTGTCACGCGGTCAGGGGACATTTGCTGTTCCATGACTACGCCTCTCAGTTTCCGGCAGGTGATGCAAGAGTGAATAATAGAGCTAATGAGCCTTTTCCCTCCAATAATCCACAAACCCGCAGCTCGAACGGCCCCTTCACTAAAATGGCGCCCCTGGTGTTCTACCCGCTCGTGATAGTGTGGGGCCAGAAGTTTGGATATGTGGTGATTTTTAGGTAAGATGAGAGGATTTTTCAGTTCAATGTCCAGCTGAGCATTTTTAAGCCGACCTCCGACCCTAATCAGACCTGCTTCATCAATCTCCGGCTGAAGCTTAAAAAGAAGGCTGGTTTTTGGAACGGACCTCCCTGCCATCAAAACTGTTATTTCTTCTGCAAAAGCCTGGTTTTGAACTGATCGTATTATAATTTTTTCAGCTTGAATTCTCTCTTCCGGTGTTCGAGGCTTATGA